TAATCTGATACTGAAGTCCTTAATAACGAATTTATAAAATAATTTTTGTTATGGATCACTACATCCAGCTGGTTGCAGATCGCGTCCAGTTCACTTTCATCATCCGTACAAGTTGGTGGTTAGTAGGTTAGTAGTTGATAGCACTGACTTTCTTATGACACGGAAATGGTGGACAAAGAACGGCTAAGAGCGGTGATAGGAACTCACCGCTCTTGGCCGTTCTTTGTCCACCATTTCCATAACAAACATTGTGATTTCAATTACAGCCGCAGCTTAACTGGGTTCTATGCCGATTTGGGGGCCCAAGATCAATCCCGCTGACGTGTGATTGCTGTGGCAAAAAGATCGATAGAAATAGCTGAGAGACAGGCGAAACAAAGGACCCGCATGGTGCGGTGTGAACGCGTTACTCTCCGGAAAGGACAATAGCGCGTTCGTTCCCCACCATAGACACCTGCGGTCCAGAGTTTTGCAAATATCTCAGCAACGTTGTGGTTGTATTTCGCTTAGTAGCCTGCTGCAAAATTATAGTAGGCAAAAAATAAAAAGGTATAACATTAATGTATGTATTGAGAAACGAACGTTTCCGAACGGCACGTGTCAAACGCTTGTCGAAATGAATTTTTCAATTGTAAATCCCACTGACAGAAAGAGCAATGGGAGGACAGTGGCACAAAAAAAGCGCCATTTGAAAGGGTTATTGCTCGTTAAAAATTTGTTGGAAATTCGCACGTAATATATCGTTGTAACGATTAACCTTCATAGAATGTAAAAAATGTGGTGGCTTTTTTGCAAAAGACGGAAACGAGATCGTAAGCATCACGTTCACCTGGTCAGACGCGTTCCATAGAACAAATCAAAATCATCGGAAATGTTTGAATCATCGATCAATAAAGTAATAATTGTTATTTTTCTAACATTACTCACAATTCTTCGTATTTTCGTTGAGCAAACGCGAGGTGTTACTATTCTTTGTTCACGATCAAGCTGACGTTTCGGCGGATTTCGCCTTCCTCAGAGCCTGGAAAGGTCAAGTTGACAGCAATTTACTCGGCCAGACGCCTCCATAACCAAACAAAGAAACTCCAAACCAATATTTCAATCACTTTGAACACAACTTTGCACACTCACCGTTTTCATGCCTCCATAACCAAACAAAGAAACTCCAAACCAAGATTTCAATCACTTTGAACACAGCTTTGCACACTCACCGCTTTCTGTATGGTCCCCACTAAGTATGTCACGTAGAGACCAACCGCACAGAAATCACGTGGAAGTATAATGTGCCCCTCACATCAGAATAGCAGTCTTATATACTGCCTTATATCACGCGTGATAATGAGGCATTCTTCCCTGCGGTTCATTTTCGGATTTCTGGAATTAATCCAGAATGCCTCGAGAGTTTTTCGCGCCTGTGTTCTTGATTCGCGTGCGAGGATCGTGACACATACTTCAAAGTCGCCCCCGTTATGTCTCTGGGTCCTATGCGTGCCTAGCGGTGTATTTCGTTTATGTTTGCCAGCTAGGTGTTCTTTCATGCGGACACAGAGGGGTCTACCCGTTTCGCCAATGTATTCGTCACCACACGTCTTACAGGAGATCAGATAAACTATACCCGAGCGCATGCAATCACCGTCCCCACTAGGGCAAATTATGCAATTTTGAGTTGCACATAGACGGTCATATAGGCGGTTGCGAACTAGCTGGCGTCATAGATTACTCGGTGGCATTTCAATTATCGCTACCGAATTCTCTAAGCTCGTCCTTCTTAAGCAGCGTTTCATAGCTGCACTTATATCATTTGAGATAAAGATGAGGATAAAGGATAAGGATAAAGGCCTCCAAACTACAACTCTAGCGATAGAAGGGTCCCGTTTATCCTACCCGGACCTACATCATCGTGCAATAGTCGGTGTTTTCATTAACTAGCACAAAGCGTAGTAATATTTCGAAACCGACTTTCCTTGAAACTCGGTATCAATAATCAATATGTATTCTTTTTGATGAGTTTAGACGAATGTTAGACTTCATTCGAGAGTTTTGCATGGGAAATGCTTACATCACGGTTTCGCGCAATTTAGCTTTTTTTCTGAGAAAGAAAAATCAGACTGCTAAGCTCAGATACACTGCAGTGTGGTTCAATCCAGAACTTTACCGAACCACTCAAGGTACTTGTAATTGATCGCTGTTTTCTATAAGACGAAAGCAATCATGCTCTTCTCGCAATAGGGAGAATACTGGAGGTTTTCACACTCCTAAGACCACTTAATGATGAGCATTGAGGTAATAAACGTCCTTTGGTAATTAACATTTTGCCATTAATGCGCTTAGTCGGATTTAAGTTGTCCAAAATATTAATAAATTGAATTTATCTTTTCTTCGTGTTTATTGATGTTTCATTGCTCCAGTGTCAGTCGGAACATCTTGTGCTCGGAGTCTGCTTGGAAACAAGTAGCTGCTCAGTTAGAATGGGATATCTGAGACGTTCCCGTTCTAATTCTGTGGACATGGCGTTGAATTTCTGATGTTTGTAACAATCACTGGCGAGAAAATTGATTTAAAAACACGGAAATTGGATTTCTTCGATAAAGATATCAGCTCAAAGCTGTCGACGCGTGGCACAGGGAAGCGCGAACACTATAAAAAACGAGTTTGGTTCGTATAAAAGTGGTCAGTTCGAATGGAAAATCGTCCCATAGCATGAATATCGTCCTAGCTGTTCTCATTTTCGCTGCGGTAGGTCTAGTCTTGTTTAAAACATTCGCGCTGAAACGACGCATTGATTTCAACGCGTGGGATGCAAAAATAATGTCGTTTTCAAGTATAAACCAACATATTTTAGCTAACATTAAATTTTACCAATTGAATTAGAAGCACTGGAATCTGTACCCTGTTGTTAAGCAGTTGCAAGTCTGCACATTCTGTCAAGGCAACATTTTCATTTTCCATAACTCGCGAAACGCACTTTTCCTAGGTCTTTTTCTGTGATTACCCTATTCTGGATGCATGTTCAATTAAAAAGCGGAATTTCTTTCACACGACATGATCGTGTTCCACAACGTGTCTTAGGCTGCCTCCAAACGGTTTACCGCCTCATCGTGTTTGGGAGGTGTTCTTGGGTATCTGACTGCGAAGTGCAGAGTGGGATTCATCAGAAAGCCAGCAGAAAGCCGTGGAAGTACAATGGTTCATTTGAGGGTTGAGGAGCATTGTAAAGTCCGGCAACAGTTTAATGATCTGGGAGAAATGGGATGCTTGACTGTGCATCGCGATGTCGAACCAGGACATTGTACTTCCACGTAATTTCTGTGCGGTTGGTCTCTGCGTGACATACTTAGTGGAAACCTCATAGAAAGCGGCTCTGAAGAAGGCGAAATCCGCCGAAACGTCAGCTTAATCGTGAACAAAGAATAGTAACACCTCGTGTTTGCCCAACGAAAATACGAAGAAAATCACTTGATCAATGCCGAGGTTAATAGAAAGTCGGTCGTGATAATCACAACGTTGCTGAGATATTTGCAAAACTCTGGACCGCAGGTGTCTATGGTGGGAAAAGAACGTGCTATTTTCCTTTCCGGGGAGTAACGCGTTCACCACCACACCATGCGGGTTCTTCGTTTCGCCTGTCTCTCAGCTATTTCTATCGATCTTTTTGCCACAGCAATCACCCGTCAGCTGGGTTGATCTGGTGAGCGCAAATCGGCATAGAACCCAGTTAAGCTATGGCTGTAGTTGAAATCACAATGTTTATAGAAGAAGAAAATATAGAAGGCAGAAAACAAAACGTTAAACATTGTGATTTCAACTACAGCCATAGCTTAACTGGGTTCTATGCCGATTTGCACCAGATCAACCCAGCTGACGGGTGATTGCTGTGGCAAAAAGATCGATAGAAATAGCTGAGAGACAGGCGAAACGAAGAACCCGCATGGTGTGGTGGTGAACGCGTTACTCCCCGGAAAGGAAAATAGCACGTTCGTTTCCCACCATAGACACCTGCGGTCCAGAGTTTTGCAAATATCTCAGCAACGTTGTGGTTGTATTTCGCTTAGTAACCTGCCATGAGAATTATAGAAGGCAGAAAACAAAACGTTAAACATGATGACGATAATGTTTCGAGAACGTTGCTTAAAATTTTTTCTTTTAGGAATCCCAGCTCATCACTTCCAAAAAAGGTTCGGATCAGTTTTTTTCATTTCCTTTCTTATTTTCTGCAATTCAATTCTTATATTGAACCTGTGCACGGTTTCTAATTCTGAATATGTCTTTTTTAACAGGTCCAATACCGGATTGTAAAGGGACAGACATGACGAGGAAGCAGAGAGAGCAGGCCGTACGGGCCCATAACGCCTGGAGGTCTGTTTTTAATATGGTTTTCAGATTTTTTGGAAGCCATTGTTGCTCATGGATATCTGTAAGAATGACTTTCATTACGACATATGTTCTTTGAAACTCATCTTTAGAAGCAATCTGGCAAAAGGAGACTTTCTTGACTACCCTTCGGCGAATAATATGAGCTATCTGGTGACGAAAAGTTTTTGTAACAAAGACTTTTTGCCTTTATTTAGCAAAGAAATTGATTTTCCGTGGCTTACAGAGTTACAACTGCGACCTAGAGAATGATTCTCTCATGACTGCCATGTCGAATTGTAACCATTCAAGCCAGCCTAGCTTCGATTACCTCGGAAGCAACAACATCACCATACAAGGACGTATCATCCCTCCCGGCGACGTACTTGTTAACTTTCAATGGGTGAATTAGGATTTTAGAATTTGCTTTAGTTTTTACGAAGAATGCATGCTTCTATCCAAAAAGCCGAATACGAGTATTTTAAAGCAAGGTTATTATTAAGTGGAACTGGGCTCTAAAAGAGGGCTCGCTTTTTATTTAACGTCTTGCAAGCACTACTATTTTATGAAAGCATAGAATTAAATAAGGTTTAAGTAAAGCATTTCAATGCGTGTGCTTATAAGTATATCAGGAGTGATTTCTTCAGGTAATGTCGAACTGGTTTCGTACAGCTAACCTGTTCAATAAGACCCATAGCCTATTACCATCTGCTCACAACGCATCAGAAATACCATTCCTTCAGGTTGGTTGAGGAGAACTTTATATTCTAAATTCTCTATAGGTCGTGAGGAAGGACAATAGCAATCTGTTTAATGATTGTGGCTTATTTGGCTGCTACTGACCACATAATTTAAAATATCGGTGTAGTATGTAGTACCAGCGTTCAACTATCCTAAAGCAAATCTAAGAGCGAGATTGATATGGCAGTTTCTTCGAGCTCATTTCTAAGAGAATAAAAATGATGTTAGTGATCCAGTGAGGAAAAATGCACTTCCAGCTTGCAAATGACAGAATGCATGTGTTCGGATGTGCATACGTCATATGCGATTCTGGTGACAAACCCGAAGGTGACATAGAGGATGACGATTATTTTGACTGGTTCGTATCCCGTAATGTATCGCTCACTTGCACATATGGACAACCGTAAGTCAACTCAAATAATTGCACTGATTTCTTGACATGGCCTTACTTCTGTGTAATTTAGGCACGTCGATCTCAATGTTCCGGTCTACACGAATGGCACACCATGCAATGCATGCGGTGGTCCAGATAGTAGTAGTTGCATCTGGAAATCGCTATGCAACAACGGCATTCTTTGAATTTTAATTCCAATAAAGAACTGCAAGTCATTTGTTATTGAACACTCGCACAACTTAGTTATTCATTCTTTTTTTGATAAGTATACACGAGGTTGGCAAACAGATTTATTTCGGCTAACGTTTCGACGTCTTCGTCTTCATCAGAGCCGATGCTCCAAGCCGGTGGTCCACGCTTGTTCTTCGTCTCGATGTGGCGGCTTCGCCTTTCTTCAATTATTTACGTATATAAAAAACAAAGATACCAAGTATATAACTGTCTCCGAAAAAAGTAGGCGATACTATTGTCAAAGCCACAACGAAACCCTTTACTTCCTTTCCTCACATCTACTGTAGGGTCCCAGCTCTTCTTGCAAACGATCCATTTTATCATAATCATTATCCACAATGGACTTCGAACTTTTCCGTGTAGGTTCGGCTGCTGATGAGCATTTTCGTTCCCTTATTGAATGCCGTTGGATGCTAGTAGGGCCTACTCTCCCTTGAGTGATGAGAGTCGTGCTTGAACGTCCGCGTGCACTGATGGAAGCGAGCTGATTCCAGAGGACTCTGGTTGCATTTAATGACGGCTTGGGACATTCGTGATGAACGGCATAGGTACCACTGCTCTACCTGGCCCTAGAGCACGGGTGTATGTGAAATATTTTTTAGACAACGGTAGCATAAAGAATGCGTCACTGATCTTTATATCTTAGCGTTACTGTAAGACTACAAAACGAGCCAGTCATTGCAAGTGTGATATTAGCTTACCACAATCCATAAGCGATGGACATTGAATAGGCTGCTTCTCACTAACAGCGCATCGAAATTTACTTATTACTGAACAGAAAAGAGGTTTTCATCGCGAACAGAGTGGATAATTTTGTTTCCGTTTAACCATTCGTAGAGCGACTCTCACAATTGTGGTTGCCTTTAAACAGCAGAGTTTCGTCATAAATTGCGGGCGAACCCACTCTTCTTTGATGCTTCTATGCTCCCAGTGCTGCCACAATCCTCTTCCTCATGTGAGATCGGATTGCCAGGATGTTTGGTGTTAATAAACATTCGTTTACAGCATCTGTGGCGGTTGTTACTAGGGATCTAATAAAAAAGGGTACGATATTGATGCAAGTGCCTAATGGAAAAGTTAACGACGATCCCAACCTCGAGGAAAAATGTCGGCATTCGGTGCGTAGTTGAGCTGCGAAAGTAAATGTTGGTCAGACAATCGTGACCAGTAATATTATGACGTTGAACAAGAAAGCAGCCAAAAACATCTTTTCTTTGTTAATCGAGGCCGCCTTTTTCCTCTATCACACTTAAGAGCTAGTACTGATCTAGCAAATATCACAGCAGACACATATCATTGTACTGCAATATTGGTGGTGAACCGTCGAGTGAAGCGTGTATGTTAATAAAAAACAATGTAAATTCAGCAATAGTCATTGACGTGGTGTATACCTGGAGAGTGCTTTGACACTTGACACTTGAACGGCCCTTCCTTACTGGTTTCGCGAGCCCCAGCATAATCACCATTTGTCGGAGATTTGCTGGTTAAGCCATTGTGGTTTCCTGGAATTCCGAGGTCAGCCAAAAGCCAAAGTCTGCTCCAGGTCTTCACCAACACGGACTGTCGCAGCCCTTGTGGATCAGAGACAGTTTTGCCACCATGCGACTTTGATACCAGCGGTGGCGGATTCTGGTATTGGTTTACTCTTAGCTAGGCTTCCTGATGGAGACGCCAGACTCCTCAGCTTGGGAGATCCTGCCAAGCGATGAATCCCCGCTGTACATTGCAGCCCGACACCCAGGAACATCTCCTAGCCACGATGAGGCGGTAAACCGTTGGGAGGTCCTGGAGAGTGCATTATGAAGAAATACACCACATTATAGTAAGCAGTAGGATTTGCCTAACTAGTGTCGCTGTTGTCTCAAAATTTTACCTGGCATCAGACCATTGCTTCTTCGCACAAGATTCTATTTCTCTCGTAAAAGAGAAGCAGCTAGTTTTAAAAACCATGTTCGAAAACGACCATAAACCAGGATTTGTTCAGACTTTTAGTCCGCCGTTTATAAAATGCCATTACAGGTGGCATTGGCCATTAAAATAATCGGATTATTCAACACCTTCACGTTAGGGCAACGAAAGCTGGGAGTTGGAAGTGTAACAAAGCATACCTGTCTTTAAAAACACTTAAGCTGATGCGCCAACGTGAATGGAAAGAGCTACAGGTAAACCATCCATGTCCAAACATCTAAAGCATTGCAGAAAGGTCATAAAAGAAGGCCCTAAAAAAAGAAGGGCATCTGTTATGAGAGAAGCCGCAGAAAGCAAGGCTACTCGGATCTCCTCAGTAGTCACATCCTCCTACCCTCGTATGAAATATAAGACGTTGGATAGGTCGTACCACATGTTCTCCTTTTCGAAATCCGATATACCGTTTCGTTGGTGAAGAATCGAACAACACCTTAGTCCAAATAGGATAGGAAGTGTGCACACACTTGAAAGAAATCTTCTTCCAGCCCTTATCAGCACAGTGGCTCGGCTATTCACAGGCTGCGTGTCAGATTGAGAGGCATCTATTTAGTGGAATACCTACAAGCATACGCAATTGTTCAAGAAGGGATAACTCTACAAGAAAGGCAACTATCGAAAAGTCTGCCTACTGTCTGCCATCAACAAACTCTTCACTCGAGTCATACTGAAATACACTGACAGATTAATGGGTGAAGGATAGCCATGAGGGCAAGCAGGACTTCGAAAAGGATTCAGTTCGATGGGCCACATTCACACGACACCAAGACTCATTGGATGATCGTCAGACTACTTGAAGTCGATCTGTCTCACTTTCATCGACTTAGAGAAAGTTTTGAAAAATATTTTTGTTGAGCAGACACGAGGTGTTACTTTAATGTTTTTACGGTAAAGCTGAAGTTTCGAAAAATCTTGCCTTTTTGTAGTCTGGTAACATCAAGTTGAGTGCAGTCTACCCAATCGATCACCTCCGTAACCAAGTAGAGAAAATACTAAGCTAATATTGCGATTGCACCGAAAACAAAATAGCCTCGCACACTCACCGCTTTCTATAAGTACTCTACTAAGTATTTCACGTGAACAATAACCGCACGGAGCTCAAATTGAAGCGTAATGTTCCTCTCATATTAAAAAGCCAGTTTAAGTGCAGCGTGAGATCACGTATGATTACAAGGCATGCTTCACTGCTGTTCATCCTTGGATTCTTAGAATTCATTCAGAATGGTTCGACAATTTTGCGCGCTGAAGTCATCGATTCTTGTGAGAGGATGGTGGCTTCAACTTCAGATTCTTCCTCGGCATGCCTCTGAGTCTTTTGCGCGTATAGTGGAGTATTTCGTTTAACACTAAGTCTACCGACCAGGTGTTCCTTTATAAAAACGCAGAATGGCCTACCGGTTTCTCCAATATTTTGTTTTCCAATGCGTAACGAGAGGTCAGTTAAACCGTACCCAAACCAGTGCAATCACCTTTTCTGCCATTAGGGAGTATTATGCAATTTTACGTTGTAAATAAATGGTTGTGCAGGCCGTTGCGAAATAGCTGGCGTCTTAAATTGTTCATTGATATTTCTATCACTGTTACCAACTTCTCCAAACCGGCTTTTTTCATGCAACGTTCTACAGCTGCACTTGGAGCTAAAACTTGAGGTTAAACCAACTACTCCATTATATCTAGCACATAGAGACATAGCGGAAAAGGTTTTAAAGCAGAAGTTGACATCTTCGCAGAAGAATCGAAAGCTTCAGTCCGCAAAATACTCAAATTAATCTGGATAAATTACAAGAATCTGAAGAGAAACCGCAGTGAGGCATACCTTGTAATCATACGTGACCTCGCGCAGTTTCTTTCACTAATGTGTTAACGTGAAAGCGGCACACTACGCTTATGCGAGCTCTTTGTGCTGTTCTCCAGTTGAAATATTCCTTGGAAGATTATAGAACGCAATAAATGTAAGAGATGCTATTTTGTTTTTAATGCGATTGAAATCTTGGTTTAGAACTTCCTCTTCGCTAAAGAGGTGTTTAGTTGGGCTGATTGTAGCCAACTTGAACTTTCCAGGCTCTGAGAAAGTCGAAATCCGCCGAAATGTCAGCTTTAACGGAATAAAGAATAAAGTAACACTTCGTGTTCTTCCCACAAGAATACAGAAAATTACTTGATCGATGCCGAGTTTAATAAAAAGTCAATCATGGGAGTTACTACAAGACGTGACAGCATTTGACTCAGTTGAGGTAGAAGCGGTCATGGGAGCCCTGAATAGCCAGGGAATCCATACCAAGTACACAAAGATTCATCGTGAGTTCTACAAAAAATTCACAACCAAAATACCACTAGACCAAAACGATATTTAGATCGACGTCAACAGATGTGTTTGGAAAAGCGATACCATCTCGCCGAAATAATTTACCGCCAATTTCGAGAACCCTCCCAACGGTATACTACCTCATCGTGGCTGGGAGGTGTTCCTGTGTGTCGGGCTGCTATGTACAGAGGGGGCTCATCCCTGGCAGGGTCTCGCAAGCTGAGAAGGAGTCTGGCGTTTCCATTAGGAAGCCCAGCTGAAAGCAAACCAATATTAGGATCCACCACCGTCCTGGTGTCAAAGTCGCATGGTGGTAAATCTCCCTCTGATCTACAAGAGCTGAGACTGCCCGTGATGGTGAAGACCTTTAGCAGACTTTGGCCAGGCTGGCCTCGTGACTCCAGGGAACTGTAACGACTTAACCAGCAAATCCCCGATAAATGGTGATTATACTGGGTGCCGCACAACCAGTGAGGAGGGGTCATTCAAATATCACGTAAGTAAGTAATTTCGAGAACAGCATATGAACATTCGAATGGGACGACATGTGGTAGTGGAAGTGGATGATTAGAAATGACATTACCTTTGCTTTTCTGCTGAAATCACTCTTACAACGTTAAGCACTTACCCGGCGAAACAAATTGTAGCCGACTTTGATAATAGTAGAGAAAAATTGGTGTTCTACAATATTTCACAAGAAATATTGTCTATAAAAACGGGTTGGTTGCGTACACCCTATTTACGCTCAGCGGAATATTTCCTAATGCTCTAGCTGCGTTTAACGAGGTTGGAAAGTCGACATAATGAAGGACTCGGCTCTAGAGCTGAGCAAGAGGAATGGAGGAGCTTTGGCAGCTATTAAGAGCATCAAGGAAGTAGTGATGGAAACGAAGGACATCCGACTCCATACCCGTATTTTCAACTCAACGACTCTCCCTACCTCAAAGTATGTGTCAGAAACCTGGCGGCGTGAGCAGGATGAAAGATCACTCAGCGTAATTGAAGACGTAGTCGAAAGGACAGTGCTAGGAGTATCCCGACGATTAAAAATCAAAGATGCCACTACATACGCCAATATATTATATTTATTCGTTTCTAATTCTCAAGAAAATACATACAGAACACATTCACTTGAAGAAAGACACAAGGCCTGTCAAATACAATTCTTGTTGGTACCCGCATCAGTGTGTAGTTAACTGCCGCTGCCTCGGGTCTTGTATAATTCAATTAGTCGTTGAAGTACCTCACGCTGATTAACACCTAGAAATTTAAGTTGATATACAAAATAAATCATCGAGATCGTCTTTTTCACTTTTTAACCACAATCCACAAAGAGTGGTACCATTTTCTGCCTCTGCCCCTCTGCAGGCTTGTGGAAAAAGTGGAAACTAAGAATCTCGTTCTTGATTCTTTCTGTTCTACTCTATGACAATCTTAGCCTTTTTATTTACTGCCTACTAAAATTTTTAACGGCAGGGTAATGTGAAATACAACTAAGATGGTGCTAAGATATTTGCAAAACTCCGGACCGCAGGTGTCTGCGGTGGGGAACGAACGCGCTATTGTCTTTTCCAGGGAGTAACGGGTTCACCACCACACTATGCGGGTCCTTCGTTTCACCTGTCTCTCAGCTAGTTCTATCGATCTATGCCATCAGCAATCACCCGTCAACGGGACTGGTCTAGGAAGCCGAAATCGGCACCGAATCTAGTTAAGCTGAGGCTGTAGTTGAAATCACAATCTTTGCACTTTTATTTACTGCCTGCTATAATTTTTAACGGCAGGGTGTCATGTGAAGGTCAAGTTGGCGGGTGACTGATGGTGTGCTGTCCGTAGTTTTGCAAATATTTCGGTATCATCTTCGTTGTACTTTGTGACAGTGGCTGGTTACCTTGAAATACGTACGGTGCACTGAATAGAATCCCACATGTTCCACCAGCGGTGATCCCGAAGAAGACGTACAAAAGCAATCGGTCAATAATCATGGCCACGAACTTCCAGTCGTCACGGTACTAGAAATTATCGACACTGTAACTAGGAGTAAAGTGAACCGCTTTTCAATGAGGAAATCAGCTCATGTTGGAAGGCATATAATTAGCTTATAGTTCTCCTTAGGAACGACTTCACATACCATTTTGTATTCTTCGTCCTGCTTTAGGTACTCGGTGATGTACTCAATTGCATCAATGGCTTGCAGAGCGTCTACAGACAAAGGGTAGTACATCGATGTGGTCGGATCTTGAGTGATTTCGCTGGTGCTCCTGAGTGCCTTGGTGGATGCGGTCCTATAAGATATTTCAGTTTGTTTTTCCGAACAATATGAAGATTTCCCATATTGAATTTGGTACGCACTTTCATGTCATTCTCTGTCGAAGGACTACTGGACTGCACTTTCTTAAACAACAGCTAAAACCCTTAGGGGCAGTGTTCTTTTTAGCTGTTTTGTTTTCACTTCCCAGCACTACGCCTAAGTTCCAGGTAGTGAAAGAGATGCGTTCCTGTAGCTATTTTAGTTCGTTAGCATTTAATACAAATAATTTTTTACCACTACACATCGTACAACTTATGGTTTTTTCGATTTATAATTACCTATCATCGGCGCTTGGACAGAATGGATGATGAGTGGCCGGATTGAGAGTAAACTCTCCCAATCCTGGTAATTGGGCGACTCCTTTTCGCTTATTAGCCTGTTTTCTAGAAGTGGACTTCGGTCGCTGCACACACATTACAAAAGGCATCCACTAAAAATGGAGAGAGGATATGACGTTGATGATAAAGTAAATTCGTCGCAGAAAAAGTCACCAACAGCGCCAACCTCGAGAAAAAGTTTCCGCACCCATGTCGGCATACGGTATGTGTTCGGACTGCGGAAGTAGATGTTGATAATGATGACCGTAACTAAGATTGTTATGACGTTGAGTACAAATGTAAGCAAAAGGTACCTATAAGCATGAACTTTGTCTAAAAATCAAGGCAACCTTTTTTTTATAATACTTAGGAGCTAGTTGGGCTTAAGCACTTGTTATTTTGGACCAAAAATATACTTTATTAATTCTGCAATATTCTGAATCTTATGTGCCATTCACATCTGGATCCCACATGAGCCACTTTCCTGTCGATAATCTCGCTTCTCAAGTGAATCCCAATAAAGTAACCAATAATTCATATCGGGTGCCAGAATTTCCCAATGAGTCCTGTTGACCTAAGTAATGAGAAGAGCATCGTGATTTTCATCGAGGATTTTCAGGAAGAACTCTATGCAGTACGCAGCTACTACTATGTGTATATTGTTGGAGCATCAAAAGATGTTCATCCAGTGACGCGTGTGCGCAACAGCTGCAAAAAAAGCAGGTTTTCATGAACACTATTGTCCTCAGTTGTTGAATTCCAGACACATGATCTTAGTATCGTCCGACGTTATTTGACCTGGCTAGTGTCTGATGGTATAACGCGTTGTCGCTGTCGATGCAAACAAGGTGAGGAGAGTGGGAATGAACAACTCCGACGGGATAGAATCATTATTTCGGACTGCCACTATTAGCTTAACGTAGCTCGTAACTCGTAACAGAGCAGCTCTGTTTTTCGGAGCACAATTAGTAATGGACCTTTTTATATTAAGCTGTGGTGACCAGATTGCCCACAGTTTCTATGATCGCTTTGTCTCAGTGAATTAAAAGACTTTTCAATCTTAACCCTTTTATTTACTGCCTTTTTCGTCTTAATGGTAGGGTATGTTGAGAAAAAGAAGTAAAGTCACGGATTTTTTTCACCAGCAACACCGGATTTTTTCACACCTGCGGTCCGGAGTTTTGCAAATATCTCAGCATTTCATACGAGACTTTTCAATGTATGTCGACGGGAGATATACGGTGTAAAATTCATAACGATCCTGTTGATGAAGAGAGTAAAGGGCATGCTAATGACAAACAGATTGCAAATCCAGCCATAGACGGTGACGTGGTATTGTTTCGTTTTGTAAACTACCGCATCTGGCATTGTTTTGGCTAACACGGGTATTTCATTCTTCTCGGTAAAATATGAAAACGGATTTCTTCATTGGAGATATTTCAAAACCTGGTGTAAGGTGCCAACTACATGCGCCCTTACAGCATCACCTTAGCGCATTAACACAAGTTTTCAGCGCGATAAACTTCACCTTGAAACTTTAAAACTTTCGCGGAATATCTTCATAGCTTCTTTCCCCTCATAGAGAAAGGCGAAACGAAGGATTCGAATGGTGTGGTGGTGAACGCGCTAGCTAACAGAAAGGGTAATAGTAATAGTGCGTTTAGATCTCATCGCAGACAGCACTTCGGAGTTTTGTAGATATGTCTGCATCAATATGGTTATCTTTAACGTAGTACCCTGTCATTAAAAAAGACCAAGTAGTAAATAAAAAGTGGCGAAATCCTCATAGCTGTTCTTCAGAGCCACAATGATTCGAATATAATGCTAACAAAAGTCATTTCTTGCTGTGCGGGTATTCGAAGTTGAATTACGGCAAATCCAACAGATGGAGCGCCACTCCAATGAACAACTTCACCCGACGCAGCCCTTTTATATAAGACAAGATATTGCCTATTTCTTGAGTGCCTACTAGTGATCTGTGGTTATCCCTCTCTTAGTCTTGTTGTTATTACGAAATACTGGATAAACAAACTCTGCATATTTTTGATAAGGGAATTTCCTCAAAAAATGATAATCCAAGCAGAAAAAAGTCGCACGCTAGGATGATGTTGAGGAAATGTATAGTCTCCATGCAAAATAGCGGGATAGCGAGATAGCAAGGATAATAGGGATAGCAGTTAATTGAAACCTTTAACTGACGATGATGTGGTCCATTTTATCATGGTATTCCTCAATGGAAGGTGACCAAGTCCAACGTCGAGAAAGGAGTTTCTGGAATTTTGAGTCACCATTCGAATAGATGGCTTCAGTTAACTAGATAAATTTACAGAGACCCTCCTGCTAAGCCATTCATCTCAATCCTAAAATGCAGATTAAAGATGGTGTTCATTGGACGTCCTCGTGAGTGCAATTTTTTCCTTCAGTCGCTAATAATAACCTTAAAGAAGGTACGCTTCACATTCATATAACAGTTTTTGATCTCGACTTTGTCATTGCTTAATGTTTGAGAATATATGGCCAAGGTTATAAAAATTGGTATTTGTCCACTTTTTTTCGATCGAAAATATCCAACTTGGGTAATTAATTATTCAAATAAAGGTTGACGATCAGGATCTATTCGAAAAGCTCGCTAACGGACTGCTATGGTGTCGCATACAAAGACGAATGAACAAAACAGTTTCTCTTTACCAATGCCATGAATAACTCTTATTGAACAGTACCGCTTTTAAGCGCTACATGGAAATACGCTACGTAGCCTCACTCGCGATTAGCCAGCTCAGTGGCTTTTCAATAAAGAAGAACTGCAGCTACAACGTAATAATACGAAAAATTTTCCGGTAGAGTATACATTATTATTAATTAGAGCCGTGCTTCCTCCACTGGATTAGACTCAGTGCGACAACGAACGCTCACATCGCGAGGAGTACTAGCTCTGGTTCATCGACTTGGATCACCGCGCCTCTAAGAAAGCCGAAGGTCCCCAAAGGTTGTCCGAATAAAAGCTTCTATACTAACCTCGTTTAAGCTCAGTCATTTAAAAAATAATATTTTCGATAATTATTATCTGTCATAAAATAATATTTATGTGATTACCCACTTTGCCATAAGTGGAATAGTGCTAGAGGTTGGTGGAAGAATCTTTGATACCAGTAGAAGGAAGACGACGATAGAGAGCAGTACGGAAATCGTCAACGTCATTTTTTCTCCTGTAAAGAATTCTCTGCTGTTTCTTAAATCTCCATCTTCTATAGATCCTCTGGATGTATACTGAACTTGTTTTCTTATTCGATATTTACTCCATTTCATAGCAAAGAGATCAGTCCAAATTTCGTAGTGGTTATAACGAATATTTTAAAAGATAGAATACTATCAACATTCACCTCTTGTTATCAGAAAAATTCTAAAGTGAATAATAACAGAGACATAGCCTTGGCCTTGACGTCAACTATGAGTTTTCGAATCCAGCCCATGGAAAGTTGTGCTTCCTTCTTTCCACTCTTCATCAACTTACCTGAGTCAGTTGGCAGAAAGAAGACGGCCATACTCAGAAATGCCATCATAACAGTGGGAATGATTAAGACGACAGTGTAGAACAGTGTTTTACGCCTAAATACGATGCATTTGTTGTACGCTCGTTATTAAAAAGCACCGTTAAGGTATCATCTGCTTATTGTGAAGGCGAAACCTTTTGTGACTATGGCTTCACAGTTCTTACCACTTACCGTATCCTGACTTGAAACTCGATGCGACTCCTTTTATTCACCAGCGACGCCGGCGCGTCGATCACATCCCAAATGGAGGACGGCGCGTACTCGGACAAATCTACCCATTCAGCCTGCTCGAACTCAAGTTTGATCTCATTCTCGTTGTACTGAAACATCATTTATTATTAAAATGTATTAGGCGTTATGGTATAAGACAAAGATAGCAGCACATGAATGTTACAATCTTAAAAAAGTGTTTGACTGCAGTGAAGACCTGGGAACGTTCTAGTGGAGATGTCTATAATAGTAAAGAGAACCGACTGAATCAGCATTCAGTGGCATTTGTAAAGAAGTAAGAAATTTCCATATATAAGTTTAATTCATGCACAACTTCAGAACTTCATGTGAGACAATTAACAGAATGAAAGAAGTGCTGTTATCGACAATATGTGAAATCCGGTCACATAGAAAAGAAATAAAGTATAGAAGTATAGAACTAGCTGAGAGACAAGCGAAACGAAGAACCCTTATGGTGTGGTGGTGTACGCGTTAGCTCCCGGAGCGCGCAATAGCGCGTTCGTTCCCCACCGGGGATACCTGCGGTCCGGAGTTTTGTGAAAATCCCAGCATCACTGTGGTTGAGTCAGACATAATACACTGCGGTGAAAAGTTGTAATAGGCAGTGAATAAAAAGTTAGCAAGTGTAGTATGTTTATATAAAAGCTTTCAAAATATAGGCGCATAATTTCGCTATTTATATAGACGGTTAAATAGAAAGAAAATTTTAATCCCAAACACAATAACCCTGAACTGTGATCGCGGTGCAAGAAAAGTAGAGCACTTCATAGACATTAACCACCACGGTGAATGTCCAACCCTCTTCTCATAGGAGCTAGAATAAACAGCGGCCGTAGGAGGCTTTGCAAAGTTCTGATAGTGAGTCTTCTGGGATGTGATATAGCCACTTTTCGACTAAGCTCCTTGCTGAGTGAGTAGAGTCTGAACTCGATTAGATATGGGCACACTGCTTCCTTGACAGTCAGTTTCCACATTGTCACATGAGAATCTATGATCATTTCATAGTTGTAAACATTGAAACACAACTCAGTTGATTGTTGAAGTTGATCATCGAAAACGTGTGCATTCAAGTTCGGTGTCGACGTCTTAGAAGCAGGCAGGAGAGATGGCAATCGTCTGCAAGTTGGTCATCGAGACCAATACGATGCAGTTCGTTGGCTGAGTGAACGAAATCGAAGCAGAAGAGTATAAGGTAGTAAGATGCTTTAAATTAAATCTAGTAGCTTGATGGGAAACCCCAAATGTTATTTCACTCTATACACCCGTATAAAATGTCCAATGAAGAAAATCGATGACGAAAAAAGTCAGAGAGGCAGTCCTTTTGTTATTTTTATCAACTACTTTCCTATTACTCGATTATATCTCATCATATTTCTGTAACCGTAATGCGAAGCAAAGAGAAAACACTAAAAACTGACAAAGCATAGAGATACAGAAAACTTACAGTCCACGAACCGAACATTAATGTACACACTTGTTCATCGAACGGGAAAAATTCCACATCTAAAACAGTTGCGCAACCAATCGATTTATCGATTAGCAAAATTTTTATGGTTAAGAAGCACCTCACCAATGATACAAGAACTTTTATAGAGTGCCGGTGGTACCCAAAGCATATCACCATGATAATTTATGACAACGTTACACATAAATGAAACTTCATAGTTTCCATCAGCGCTTAAAGAAAAGTGATAAAATATCCATGTCTGATAAAACAAACACCAAATAGCCTATAAATCGTCAAAGATCTTGTAATCAGAAAACGAAAAACTGATCTGGTGAAAACGGTGAGTGGGAAAAATAATATATACTGTACTTGTTGAAAAGAACGATATCGGGAAGCCAGACTTTGTCGGGTGACACTCGTATCTCTTTGATTTCACCGTAATTCACCGGATTCCAACGCATTTGGAAGTCATGCCATTTCTAAAGATCGATAGATCGGTATACGAGCAACTGAGGCGAATCGATAAAGTCG